GTTTCAGGGAAAGTTAAGATTGAAGATTTGAAAATAAATTAGAACTGCCTGAATGTCTTTGTCCAAAAACAATGAATATCTTTTTCTCAGATATTGGGTGCACTTTTCTAGATCCAGGAGCAGACCCATAATGTTTTTGGGGGGGGGGGGGGGGGGAGGAGTTGGTGCATGACTTATGATCAGCATGTTCACAAACTCAAGCACCAATGATGCAGTAGACATCAACTCAACTAAGAAGAAGGGGGTGCAAACCTTCCCAACCCCTCCCCTACATCTACCCCAGCTATCTCAATATTTTATACCTTGATACTGCAAAGAAGTTTGTTACTTGGTAGCCGAAGCAAGCATAGTATGCATGTTCCATGATGGCCATCAGTTGAATGCTGTTATACCCAAGATACTTAATCCTCGGAATAACATGTTTTGTAAAGTGCTTGTAGCTAGCAACCTGGGGCTTGTTGGATGAGATACCAACATGCGCTTCATATATCCTCAAGCTTTTGAGGGGTTTTGGGCGTGGATGTTTGAAGCAGTATGGTTCAGGCGGGTCCCAGTGGACGCCTTCATACAGAATGTTGTCTTCTGGGGCAACGGCGTATTTAATCCAGGGAGATATACGGTCTACAATTTCACCAGATGCTAGCTGGATTCCAACCTGAAGAAAAAAGCAATATCTGAGATCAATACAATGGTGCATATGAGATATTGGATGATGTAACAGTAGTAATTTGCTCCCAGGTTTAATTCCGGGACATATCATAAGAATAGAGTTTGTTAGGTCTCTCCCTGGGTTTTTACGTTTTTCCAGTTAACTATGCTCTGACTTAGATCAGCGCAGAGGATGTTTCAGGGTTCAATCTGTGAGTTAGCCATGCCCTGACTTAGATCAGCCCAGAGGTTGTTTCAGGGTTCGATCTGTGAGTTAGCCGTGCCCTGACTTAGATCAGCCCAGAGGTTGTTTTAGGGTTCAGTCTGTGAGCCCTGACTTAGATCAGCCCAGAGGTTGTTTCAGGGTTCAATATGTGAGCCCTGACTTAGATCAGCCCAGAGGTTGTTTTAGGGTTCCATAAAATTTGAATTTTTTTTACCCATTATATACGTGACATTTATGACATTTATATCAACTTGTAATATCAAATATAAGTAAAACATTTTGCCCATACCTTGACTTTACTTCCATGTGCAATGACGGGTGTGCCGTCAGACTTGTTAGGCAGGTTCAATTCCCAGATTCCAAACTCATTCTTTGTACATGGATGAGAGATCCTATTCCAGTCATCTAAAAACAGTTAACAATATGAGTTCATTTTTGTAATCTTGTTATGGGGGCTCTGAGTACCACAGACACAAAATTTGGGGAAGGGTCTGGTGGAGGGACACATCCAGGGAGTTTTAAAATATTATATTAATAATTGCTTGTCATATTATGATTAGAAATGAAATAAAAATAAAAATAAAAATCGAGAAAAGTTATCTTAATTACAAATACTTTAGTGAATTGTTTGAATTCATTGAATGAAGTATGATTGTATTCAATTACTATGTGAATATAATGTATTAAAATTGTGAAGCGTTGTTGAACTCTTGGAATTGACACTATATAAAATATTACTATTATTATTTCGTACAAGTTCTACCCATTACAATTTTTGGGGGTCTTCAACAGTACACTAATACGCTGCTTACTTACTGAACTTTCCGGTAGGAATAATCTTTTTTGAATAAATACTTATTAGTCAAACTAGTACCAATGTGTTACTTGATCACAGATTCATTTATACAGGGTTAGCCTCGAATCAGTGTCTAAATATTCACAAATACCAACAGTAAAGTAAAGAATGCACAACTTCAACAATACAAGTACTTTGAAGTTCCAGGGACCTTTACTAGAACACATGAATATTCAAAATAATCCTCTACGCAATTGAAGCTAGCCCTGTAGAACAGAGAATTCAAAACTGCAGTATAGACTAATACACCCCATAGGTACTTACTGAAGTCCCAAATGGGTTCTTAATAAACTGATACACTGCCAGCAACTTACTGAAGTCTCCAATAAGGAACACTCCGTGCGCACCAGGGGCCCATTCCCTGTACATCTGACCTTCTGCTGTTCTAGTTATGCCAAACTTTTCATATCCTCTAGAAAAAGCATCTAAACTTCCTTCATGCTTTTCAATATCTCCCTTGATTGACTGAAAACATTTGTATCTGAAATTTCAAATTCGAAAATAAGAAATGTAATTCTTTCTGGCCAACAGCACATGGTGGTCAGTGTTTGACCATCATTTGTATCAGATTTTTAGATTCTAAGGCCTAGGGCAAACGTCGAACTTTCCATGCACCGAACTTAATTACATCAAAGAATGCCTCCTCATTATCACCTGATATCCATTGTTTTTAATGAGTTCGGTGCATGGCAAGTTCGTCGTTTGCCCTAGGCCTACGATGTCTTTTATCCACTGATTGAAACCCAGGGATTGAAAACGTCATGCATGTAAAACAGGTCAAACTGGTCAATTATTTTGTATTCATATTGTAAGTATGATTGACTGTCTAAACAACTCACCTTCTTTCAATCTCTCCGACAAAAGGCTGAACCCATGGATCATCATGGAGAAACCTTGACAAATGAGGAACTACAGAATCGACTGCCATCTAAATCAGGAACAAAAAAGGGCAATAATCAGTTGCAAGAATTTACCGCTGTTTTCATTACTACGATTTTAAAGGTTGAAGAAGAGAATCATTATATGCTTGAAAATTATGCATTGTTATATCATATTATATGTTTTTTATAAAATAGGATAAAAATTCTTCTGAGTGCTTTATTTGTGAATGGAGTACGGAAAAAGCTGTTTTATTCATTTTATCACATAGTTACTAATTTTAGTTCAGTATTGAATTTATTTACGCAAAAAGAAAGAAGGTCGCAGGATCTGGCAAAACCTCGAGCACACAGATGTCAACAGCACTGTGTTCCATTCATTAATAAAGCACAGTTTTCGACCAATCAGCTACTACTATCCTAATTATATAATAAATTATATTACAAAAGGTTATATGTTATTGTATACTGCTTTTTCTCTATTAAATATTATCATTAAATTTACAATGTAAATGTTTAAAAAAAAACAGCAGGGAATTTGTATCTACTGCAAGATAGCTGAACGCAAATAAACGCTGTATACTATTTTGTGCAAATTAGATTAAGTACTGTTTTACAGATAGAACTTTGCATTCTATTCTATTCTATTTCTATTTGATTATTTAGACATGAGTTATGAGGGTTTACTTATTAAAGGTCATAGGGCATTTTGATGATTCCACGTGTATGTTTTCACTAGACAATATTATATACATTCAAGCTCTTGATCGACAACTTTGATCAACCTAGACTTGAAAATACACTTTGAAAATATATTTATCAAACATGCAACTCAAAATATAATTTACTATTAACATTAAGGTTTTGTGACTATGACCTAAGAGTTGTTTATCAAAAGAATACATTTTGCAAGATCTCTTTACAAGCTAAAATCATTTTTTACATGCCTTCTTAACTTTGCTCCAAGAAAAACAGTTTTCTGTTGGAAGAAAAACAGCACAAATTATAGTTCAAGGACTCTTTCCATTCAATTCGATCACGAGTTTGCTCCTTTACAGTTTCACATGCATTAATTGGATAGTACGGCTGTATATGACCGTATTTGTATAATAAGTAACGTATTTGTGGCATAACCGTCTGATGAATATGCTAATGAAGTCTAGAATAAATTATTAAGAGAAATCATAAAGGAAAACGACAACCAAGGCTGACAGATCAATACCTCATTAAATTCCTGACTCCAAATGTTTTCAAAACTGGCGGTTAGGAATTACACAAGAAAATATTGGTGTTAAAATATATGTAAGTTTTTCAATGATTATCTTTGTACATGAGGCGTAAATTTGTATGTCTGACCTTTCTACCTAGTATATTTGCCTAGATATATCTCTATATAAAATTTTAAAAATATATGTTATTCTGTGCTTTTTGGATTTCCATTAAATCTACACTGAACAACTTGTAATGCATAACTTTCTAGCTATATTTCCTAGCAAGATATTAATATTTTTTGAGTACATTTTAGATTGCACTAAGGTACAATCATTAAAGTACCTAAGCATGCAATAGGATACAGAAATCATGCTAGTAGCAAAAAATAATTGAATTGGGAAACAGTTTAATATATTTTTCAGGCATGATTTGTTTTCATTTTATAACTGAGTGAAAGCTAGAATAAAAGTTATAATGCTTTCTGAATATTTTAAAAAGTGAGTCAGCTGAAACAACAAGAAGAGAAGCGAGTGATGACATCTCTGTTTTGAGTCCAAAGTACAAGCGAGGAATTCAGCATTTTTTCTTGTTTTTTTTTTTTTTAATATTTTTCCTTTGAGACTCGAATACATATATTTATAAACATTATGCTTTCTAATTTAAACTTATGGTTCAGATATTTTGAATAGATTGCAAGACCACCATCCTTAAAGATTTTTTATTGAAACATTATTAAGATTTACTTTTAAATTTTTATGTCAGGATTGAGAGATTTTACTTCACTTTTTCTTCTCTATTCTATGAATTCTACTGCCAAAATAAATTTAAAATAAAATATCCAAAATTATTATTAAAAAACTGAAACTAAATAAACACTAAATAAACTTAAATAAAGACAATATTAATTAATTATTTATCATTATTTATAAATGGGTTATAAATAAAAATCATTGTACCTATGTATAATTATTATTAACATATTTATAATATTTTTTAAATTTATGCACATTAAATAATTCATATTTGCTACATTTTACTGTAGTCAAAGGCATTGCTATGGAAACACTTATTATAGATTTAAAAAAGTAAATATTCTTTATGATTGTGAGGACTTTAACCCTTTATTAAGAAATCAGTTCTTACAACTATATTGAGGCAGAATTTTACTGGGATTGGGGGGGGGGGAGTGGGGATTGGCAGAATTTTACTGGGGGGGAGGGGGTCTAAACTATTATTAGATTATATATACTATTTATAATTGTCTGGCTGGTTGGCTATTGTTTATTGTTTTTATTATAATTGTATCTTTTGTAAGCACCGCATGTCTGAAAATCAGCTTGCCGAGCTGTCTACCCTAAATAAATAAATAAATAAGTTTTTTAAATATGAATTTAATTTATAAATATTAATAATAATGTTTTCTGAGTTTATCTGACTATTACACTCTAATAAGCCTTTTCATAGTTTAAGAATCTATTCCACTGCGCATGCAATTTTATCCCGAATTTCTCACCTTCTTTTGTTTAATTAAGAACAAAAGAAGGTTTAGACAAAAGAAAGTAGAAATTCGGGATAAAATCGCATGCGCAGTGGAATCAATTCTTAAACTATGAAAAGGCTTATTAGTACACTTTGTCTCATGGGTTTATGAAAACCACTCTATCAAATCTAGTTTTCAAACCTGGAGCTAATTACTTTCTATATATCTCTACATTCCCATAAGAACATAATTATTGTTATACTTACACCTTTAGAGATAACTTCACTAAGATTGTGTCGAACCACTTTGACTCGTTTCATTCTATCATTACTGCAAAAATAAGAATTTTAGACCTTGAACCTTACAATAATCAAGAAAAATATAATAGAAAGAATTTACCTATAGAACTCTTTAGCTTGRGCAAAATGTTTTCCCATTTCAGACCACATGTCATTCCCTTGAGAATGCAAGATCCTTTGTTTGAGTTGTATCCATATTCATGTGCAACTGTTAGACAAAGAAATGATGCTCTAGGGAATAACATATGTTCTGCAATGGGAAATTATTATGCCCAAACCAAAAAAACATCTAAAATGTTTTAATATATATATTCAGGATAGTAGGCATGCACTGGTTGGTCGAAAACTGTGCTTTATTAGTGAATGGAGCACAGTGCTGACGCCGTCTGTGCAAGCGAAATAAATAACTAACTTAATATAATAAAACGAATGAAACAGCTTTTCCCCTGCTCCGCTCAGTAATAAAGCATTTTTGTTATCCTCACCACTGAAAATACACCAAGGCTGCATGGGAAGGAATAGTTAAAAACCAGGTGTTTTCATAACAGTGTACAAGCATGTGAGAGTCGAATTGTTTAAAAACTACTGTTTATAAGCAAGCTAAAACATCTCTGCTGGTCAGATTCAAGAAAACCTCTTAAAAATATGCCCCATTAAAGTAAAAGAGGCTCTAATACTTTCTATTACAAATAAACTTTCAAACTAAAGACTCAAAGTGAAGTTCATGCAATGAATGTTCACGTGCTGGCATGCGACAAGCAAAGCACGATCGGACAGAAAATTCAAAAAACTGAATACGACTCAATGTAAAGTAATACCAAATAAACCTAGGAGCCGTGATATAGATTGTTTTTTTCTGTGCTTCAGCTGTTATTGTGATAATGCTTTCAGTATTCTCACCTTTCACGAACAAACCAGAAGCCGCCATTTTTCTATACACAGGGATCCCAGAATACCGCCCCTTGACGGAAAAGTCCTGGGTTCTATAGGCTACTTGCACGATATCGTCCAAGTCTGCCAGGTCTTATTTTTATGGCGTAAATTTCATAAAATAACCAATCTATTCCCATCATAGTTCGAAAGGAGCCTAAATATGCCTCTGGCTTGGGCCTTATCAATCATTGTATATGCTATTTTACCTTACTACTCTTCCCAGTAGACCGAGGTAGTTGTGATTTTTTAATCGCCTTCGTAGCGTCTGTTATGTTATCCGCAAGTACATTTCAAATCGACCACGTGATGCCAATGTTGTACCACGGGGACAATTTTTTTACACCACGTGATCAAAATTCAGTCAAGTTTTAATCACGTGGTGTAAAAAACTTGTCCTCTTGGTACAACATTGGCATCACGTGGTCGATTTGAAATGTACTTGCGGATAACATAACAGACGCTGCGAAGGCGATTAAAAAATCACAACTACCTCGGTCTACTGGGAAGAGTAGTATGTCAGAATAAATCGAATAGGTGATATAAGTTACTGGCCTTATTGAGAATTTAGAAGTTGATTTCTGAGGAGAGAGGAAAATCGGATTACCTGGAGAAAAACCCTTGGAGCACAGGAGAGAATAAATGCTCACATACATACATCGTGCGACGCACCACCCGTGCTTCCCATGAATCAGTCGGAGAGCGGAGAAAGGTACATCACTGCAACTAGAGTAAATCTACCGTGACCTCTAAGAACCCAAGGGGCCGGGAATGCAAGGCATAGATACACGTACACGCATACTAGAAGGCTTCCAAAATAACTGCATAATTCATAAATACATTCATGTAATCAATGCCAAGATGTATTACATCATATTTTATTGAATTTCATATTAAAAATTCTAATTCCTTGTTAAAATATAACAGTCTACATAGCATTGTTAAACAACTGATCTTTATATACCCGATCACCAACGCACAGCGTTCGACTTGCATTATATTTTTATAATTATGATCATCTATGTAATATGTACTCGTAGTTAAAAGAAGGAATTTTTCAGTTTAACAAAAATTCAACTTTTTTAGCAGGACTGATAGAATGCGTAACCATTCCAATCATAGGAAACAAGGTATAAACTATTCTTGGGGTGCATGTTACGTCATAGCCGCCATATTGGTTGACGATAACGAAGTATTCCTAGCCTGCAGAGCAGACGTTCTTTTGATGGGTTTGAGGAAGAATCGGGGTTTTGGGGTTCCTGTTTCGAGCAAGGGCCCAAACCCACAAGAACGCCTGCTTGGCAGGCTAAAGCATTCCTCATTAGCTTCTCTTGTTAAATCAACTAACATGGCGGCTGTTGGAGGGATTTTGAGTCGTGGGCGCACTCCAAGAATATATAATGATTTCAGTTGCGAACTATAGTTTCTTCGCAGTGCGATAACATGACAAATGAGTGGAAAATGAGTGGACACGCATTGGATATCCCCAGGCATGTCCTCTCATTCCCCGTCAAAATTTCGTCATGTCTTGCTTTCGTCAGTAAAATACTGATGTTCGGACAAAAATCTTTACACGAATTACTCTATTTACAAAGAAATGAGATTCCTAAATGTCTTGAACCAATTAACGAATCCAACTCCCCTTAGTTACCATTACTATGTCAATCAGCTAAAACGTATGGCTAAAGTATCTCAGAATCTAAAAATCTGGTCGCGCAGGAAATTTGTTACAAATTATTGTTGTCTATATATGAAAACACTAGACAAAAGTCCATGTAATCCTTATAGAAAACAGGGCAGGAATTTTTATTTGTTTGTGGGACAAGATTTAAATTCCACTGAGAAAACTGCTGCAACGGTGAATGGTTGACTATAGAGACCTTTAGCATGACGTTCTTGCTAGGTACCGCAAACCTCAAACTGCAGTCCGACGTCAGGCGTTTTCAGTCAAATATTCGATATTTAGCAAGGTGTCATCACGAAGTTGTTGCTGGAAGAGTGGCCATATTGAATATCATTGATGCTGAGTGATTGCTGGCGTGGGACTGATCCCTAGCGGTCAGCGGTAAACCTGATGATAAAGGTCTCTAATGTCTTAATAGGTTTTGTTAACGCTAAAGAACCCACGATCGGGAAGCACTGGAGCGAGAGAGCCTCTTAGAACCCAGGGTACTAAATGTCCGAGTCGGTGCATGGATATTTCAAGCTATTGTTCTGTTGCCGAGAAGACGCGTCCAGTAAGGGGGCACACATTCTTGTTGCGCGCGCAGTGTACGTGTGTTAAGACTCCATTTGGGTATCGAGCGACGGCAGGATCGTTGAAGGGACGACGACATGCTTGACATAACCTTACAAAAAAAAAAAGACAATGTCAATAAAACCAAGAAACAGGTTTATTGCGTAACCATAGTGCAGAGCTGGACCCACTTTTATCGATGCGCGCGGGGAAGACGAACCGAGTAGCGGAAAGAGACTGGTAACTTTTGTTTACAGCCTATTTCATATTGTGCATCTTGCGCATCTCAACAAGAAAACTGCAATAGCTCGTAACAAACCTTTCTTCGTTTATAGAAAAAGTTCCTTTCTGACTTACAACGCTTGCAACTTTAACCTAAAGAAGAAAGAGAGAAAGAAATAAAAGAAAGAAAATAATCAATATTCGAATCAGTTTGAGTTCATTTAAATTCTTGCGTAACAGATTTTAGAGGTTTTGCACCATCACGTGACGGCAGCCATGTTAGATGGCTGGAACAATACAATCGTTTTGCATGAGATAGAATTCAATTCCCAAGAGCAAAGGAATTTTATTGTTCAGCCATCTAACCACAGGCAGCCCAAGCTGGATTATGGGCGTGGGCACATGATGGAGCAAAACCTCTATAGGGTTAAAAAATAAATAAAAACGGGAGTTTCACTCCAAAGAGGCTGTTTTTCTGACACTTTTACAATACACTTCCAGTATGTAGCATCAGTTGGTTTAGTTGGCTGGCCTGTTGTGCGGGAGAAGAGCACTGGCCTCAGTGTAAGACCTGACCATTTCTCAGGGTCTTAAAATATCTAAGCAGAAGGTACTGCCTTTGCTCTACAAATATCTGCAAATGGTTAGACCTTTACCGTGGCTCGGAAGACCATACGTAAAAATGGAGGTGCCGTCTCAGGCCCACAAGTTTATTAGTTGCGACTGTCATGTTTCACCCTCTCTAAATAAAGCTAGTTAAGGTAGGATCAGATGGGTCAAAGGCACAAGCATTAATAGTTTACCTTTAAATGATTTTGCTTTTCTAGTTCGGATTGAATTCTTATATTTCTACTTTTGTGCAGACTTGAACGAACAGAACCGGTAAGGAAACGAGAAAGGACACCTATGGACCATTCTTCTGGGATCAGACGAAGTACCTAAAAAAATTTAGTAACCAATAACTTAGTAGAATACAGACACTATAAGTGTGTAACATAAATACCACTAAATACTGCTAAATTGTGCTAATCCTATTGTTTTCTATTGTTTAATTAGCACTATTTACTACTAAATAGTGCAAAGTGTTGCACACTTTTAGTGTTTGTACTCTAAGATACACTATACATAATATATTTTTTTAAACTTATATTTTATCGAGCCTAACTCACAGATCGAACCCTGAAACAACCTCTGGGCTGATCTAAGTCAGGGCATGGCTAACTCACAGATCAAACCCTGAAACAACCTCTGGGCTGATCTAAGTCAGGGCACGGCTAACTCACAGCTCGAACCCCGAAACAACCTCTGGGCTGATAAAAGTCAGGAATCAAGTCAGTTAGCGTGTTGGTTTTTTGCGGAGGGAGAAAAATCCCAATTAAAACCCTCGAATCAAGGAAGAGGGAGACCAAACAAACTCTGCTCACATGGGTTGCTGAGTCCAAGGAATCGAACCCGAGACCTCGGAGGAGAGAGGTGAGTGATAATCGGATAATATGCTACGTCGCATTTTTTTGACATTAAAGGAAAAGCGCGCAATAAAGTCTTCATATACTTACTTCTACGGTATCAAAGTCTTGCATATGAGAGTTTAATAGTGATATAGCAGGTTGGACGAATGGTTCTATGTCTCTGTCGATAGAAAAGCAAAACAGTTGGGGGACGCTTTAACACTTACATGGCGCCTTTTTCGTGAAAATTCAATTGACTGATGAAGCTCCCTCAAAACAGCCCCATAATGCAACGCATTTCCACTACTCCCAAACGGCTAATTTCCAATCTCGTATCTAGAGCCCTTATTTCTTACTGCGCATGCTCGACGAAATAATTAGTGGAGCATGCGCAGTAAGAATTAAGAGCTCTGGGTACGAGTTTGGCTTATTTCAACAAACGCTAAAGAAACTTACTTGTCAGGCTTGAGATAAACAAGAAGTAAGGCATGGAATAACTTGGCACGGTAGTTTTGGTCACGATCCTAATAAAAATATAAAAATGATAGTGTAAAGTAAAAGCAAGTTAAGGATGGTGCTACTATTGTTAGTGCGCACACTTACTGCGCATCTTTATCGAGGGAGAGTGAACCACCCGGTGAAAAAAGCTCGAAGAGGGAGAGACCTAAAACTCTTCTCACATGTGTTGCCGAGTACAGGAATCTAACCCTAGACTTCCTAGGTGTGAAGCCAAGCGTACTACCGCTACGCAACCTTCGTTTTCCATAAAGATTACCTTTGAGTTGATGTTACAGTATCTGACAGCACCCTTGAAATCGTTCAATTTGTACACAAGGATTTTCAGTGCTTTATCGTGCTGCTCCATCTACAAAAGAATATTCAAAGACGTGTTAGCCTTACTAACAGTCCATTGGTACACTTACCCATGCCTCAGTTGCTTATTAAGTAATTCATCAGTTCCCTTCTCAATCGTGAAGAAATAGAAAACGCGCGCTGTGTTGGCGGGCGAGAGGTGAATGCACCACCACTTCACCACCCATTTCTTCCTTAAGGGAATTACCAGTAAAGCGGGGAGAAACGTCCATGACTGCAAATTATATCTCAGTACCTTTGAACAAATGAATCCCTCTCTAAAGACGATTATTGTTATTGAATGTGAAAAACAAAAGCAATACAAATATATATACCTTTCCATACAGAATGGCAGCTTCGGCATCCAGATCGGAGTCTTCGGTGATTTTAGATAAAATATGAGATACTCTATACAGCTTAGACATCTCCAGCAGGTTCCTAAGTTTCTCTCTATGTTTATAAACAAAAGAAACGTCTATTTAAAGTTTAGTTTAGAGTATTATATGTCGTGAGAGTTTTGCGCTGAATAAGTTTGTACACCCTCTACTGAATAGTAAGTGTACAAGGTAGTAATTGTACAATTCATTTTCATCTTGTGTAATTTTTTATTTGACATAACCAACATGTGAGTTGAGAGTTGTGTGCATAGAACATTGAATGTAGTGGTAGATCCCAACATCAACATGTGAGTTGAGAGTTGTGTGCATAGAACATTGAATGTAGTGGTAGATCCCAACATCAACATGTGAGTTGAGAGTTGTGTGCANCCCAACATCAACATGTGAGTTGAGAGTTGTGTGCATAGAACATTGAATGTAGTGGTAGATCCCAACATCAACATGTGAGTTGAGAGTTGTGTGCACAGAATATTGAATGTAGTGGTAGATCCCAACATCAACATGTGAGTTGAGAGTTGTACACATAGAATAGTGAACATGTAGTGGTAGATCCCAACATCAACATGTGAGTTGAGAGTTGTGTGCACAGAATATTGAATGTAGTGGTAGTGTGTGTGAGTGACAGTGGGCCAAAACCCACTATAAAAAAGTGATTTTTTTTCAATTTTATAATCAAGTATTATTTTTAAAGTAGAATCACCGGTAGCTATAGTTTCCTAGTGTTTGATGGCATGCTGTCTTACCTTGCCTTCTGTATCGTCTCTACTGACGAGGATGGATCTCTTCTTGCGCTGAACACTTGCTCCAGATACAGAAGAGCCAAGTGAGTGTGAAACTTTTCTTTCTGTGAAAAGAAATAAAAAGAAATTTCAAAACTCCATTACCAATTTATGTAGAAGAGGGGTTTTGTTGGAGTACGAAACGATACGACAAATCCGTATTTGTACTGTAGCCCTACCGTATCTTACCGTAGCCGTGGCCACGCGTTCTGATTTGATGAATTACAATGACAATAGGAAGCCATTTCAATGTTACGGCATGTAGTAACGTGTACGTACTGTAAGTCATTACCGCATGTTTCCCACTCATACGATAACCATTATTATGGGAAGCCATTTCAATGTTACGGCATACCCTACCGTGTACGTGCTGTAAGTCATTACCGCATGTTTCCCACTCATACGATAACCATTATTATGGGAAGCCATTTCAATGTTACGGCAATAGTACCGTGTACGTGCTGTAAGTAATTACCGTATGTTTCCCACTCTTACGATAACCATTATTATGAGAAGCCATTTCAATGTTACGTTAATCGTACCGTGTACGCACTGTAGGTCATCCCATCGCTAGGACTAACTTCACATCCTACCAAAGCGATCAAACAGCGCGCCGTCACGGTCACGGAGCAGCGTGTACAATCCGCACTTTATGATTTCACAATTGTTAATTGTTATTTTCAAGGATTAATACTTACGTCTATTTTCTTCGTAAAGATTAAAAATTCTAAGTATGTGATCTGGGCCACTGGAAATTTCTGTTGTAGATATTCTACGATTCGGGTGTGTGTCATGCTGTCGTGATGTGGTTCATTTGAAGGTCTCTCCGTGAAAACCTGTAGAAAACGCGGGAAAGACTGGGATTACACAGTGATTCTTGCAATATCGATAGATAAAGAGACAAACGAAGGAGTGGGTGAGAGGATGGGTGGGGATGGGGTCAGGGAATGAATGAATTAATAGAAAAGATGGAGTGACGGAATAGAATGGATGGACGAATGGCTGAGATAAATGGAATAAACACTGCGCGTTCAAAATAACATCCAATTAACGCCTTACTTTGATTGCAATTTCCTGATTCTTTTCCAACAACCAAGGAACATGGTTCCACAACAGATCATAATCCTGAACACTGGAGATAAAATTCGGTAAAAACTCATAGACTTATTACTATAATTGTCCTTTTTGAGCGGATAAATCTAAGGGTATAAGGGGACATTACTGGGACCTAAACAAGTGCCCGTAATAACAGTGCGTCTGCATTAAACAGGTTCCACTGTACAAACTTTTATTTAAGGGTAAGAGGACATTACTGGAACCTAAACAAGTGCCCGTAATAACAGGGTGTCTGCATTAAACAGGTTCCATTGTACAAACTTTTATTTAAGGGTAAAGTGACATTACTGGAACCTAAACAAGTGCCCGTAATAACAGGGTGTCTGCATTAAACAGGTTCCGTTGTACAAACTTTTATTTAAGGGTAAAGTGACATTACTGGAACCTAAACAAGTGCCCGTAATAAAAGGGTGTCTGCATTAACAGGTTCCACTGTACAACCTTTTATTTAAGTGCACCTTCTTACCTGCTTAAGAAACTGGCAACACAAGGCAGACCTGGAAACGTTTCATCGACCAGTTCTCCAAAACACAGCCTAAATAGAAAATATTTATCGTTAGTTAATAAATTTGCTTTTTCCTTGCAGAAAGAAGCGTGCTTGTTGGATCAAATAGGATAATTTCCGCAACCTTTTCCCTTTAACTATGGAAAATCTCGCATTTGGGGGAAACAGCAAAAGCATCAGTAAAAGTAAAAACTATTGAGCAGCGTGAAAAATCACAGTACATGTTGTGTTGTGAACATAATGGTGCAGTTTACAAGCATTTTCATTTGATGACAGTGATGTCGAACGCAGCGTGACTGGTAGCTGTTTTCGCTTGCCGTGCCGTGCCGTGCCGTGCCGTTTGAATAATCATCAGCTGATTTTGCAACTGAAATAGAGTTGTTTTTCCTACCTTTTCCAAAAGTCGAGAGCTTTTTGAGGTTCGTTGTGGTAGATATGGAACAGTGCTGTGGCGTGATATCGCTATAACAACAACATCACCTTCATCAATGATACAACTTTATCCTCGCAATCACCATCCCCACCACCCACAACAATATTCCCATCGTCATCATCACCACCACAACCATCATACGCCATATCTCATCATGAAATAACTGCTCTAAATCTCGCGTTATGATTGGTTGGGAGCGTGTGCTTTATGAGAGCACACAGCACGTACGCGCACATTCAGTTTCGTCATTCATGTAATTTGTATTTTATAAAAGACATAAAAAACTTGCTTGCTGTGCTGTGTGGAGTTATAAAGCACTTGGGGATTGACAGAATACTTGAGAAGTGTCGAGATGCACTCCGCTACGCGTCGTGCTTCTCCTAACACTTCTCTCGTGTTCTGCCAACGTGCTTTATAACTGCACACAGAACGCGTGCGTTTTTTATTTCTTCTGTGTGATACCTTGTATTTCATCAAACATGGTTCTGTATCTTCTACGGCACAATAGTTTTCTGTCGTGACCAGCTCAAGTAGCTTTGGAGAGTTTATTTCTGCATACAGTTTTAACAAGGCAGTATCTACCTCCTATATAGAAAGAAAAAAAGAAAGAAAGAAAAACACAAACTAGATTAACTAATTTCTTGTTTGTTTTCAATTTTCTCTGAATGAAGTTAAGTTTAAACTCACCACTTTACATTCCACATAGATTTGCCTCCGCCGTGAATCTTCCTATAAATATATAATAATTACAGAATTTATTAATGTATTTTTGATTGCATATTGTAGTAAGGAGCTTGATTGATTCCACTGACTCAGCAAGATCAGGTTAAAAATGATATCTGTTCTGAGAAACCAGACTTACTAAAAATGACAGAAGAAAATTCTTGGCTTCTGCCATGAATGTCTTGCTTCCTTTCACTGAAAAAAATGAATAAAAAACTGACTCACAAAAGCACTATACTTCAATGTAATCCCAGGAATCAAGAGAGTCAAGCACTTACCTCTCACCTCTGAGGTCTCAGGTTTGATTCCTGGACCCAGTGGCGGATCCAGGACTTTTTGCAAATCTCGGCACAACAATAACGTTCTCTTGCATTATCATTTTTCCCATGAGGCACATCACTGGCCTAGGGGCGCTCCTGATAAGGATAACCTATCCATATCTATCTAGTACCATTTATTTATTTAAAAAAATATAAAAAATCCAAGGTACCAGCCGGTAGGGGGGTTCATTTGCACCCAATAAACCCCCCCCCCTAAATCCGCCACAGGGACCCAGCACCACAAGTGAGCAAAGTTTGTAGTCTCTTTCTTGATACAAATTCTGCTCGATGTGATGCCCGGTCCAGGAATCAAGCCTGAGAACCCAGAGGTGAAAAGAGAGTTTGTTGGGTTTCTTCCTGGATGCAAACACAGAATTATTACTAGGAAAAACTTACTCAAACCATTGACATCTTTGATATTATGCAGATCTCTGGATGGAAGGAATGTCCAGGATGATATAAGTAATGAAGGAAAAAGTACTATCAACTGAAAGAAAATGCAAGGAAAAAATGTATCATAAATCTGAAAAAATTTCCAAATTCTTTTCCACTTTACTTTTTGGGTTGCCTGTGCTAAATGCAGAAAGGAACGGGCAGCAATTAGGCCCCGTCCACACGTATCCGGAAATTTTTGTATCCGCAAAATATTTTTTGCAGATACGAAAATGTTTGCGTCCACACGCAGCGTATTCGAATCGTTTTCACCTTCCACACGTATCCGTTTTCGTAAAATTTGAGGATACGGATACAAAAATTTGAGGACACGTGTGGACGCAACGCGTATCCGCAAAAAAAAAAAAAAAAAATTGCGGATACAAAAATTTCCGGATACGTGTGGACGGGGCCTTAATCTCAAACTCACCTCTCTAGGGTCCAGCCCTCCATCGATCATCAGCTCTCCAGCATCTCGGAAACATCCCTCTGAGAAATAAATAAACCCTGCTTGTTGTTGCACCTGGCTAAGAAGCTGCAAAAGAGTGTTGTAAATCATGTTAATTAAATCTCAAACAATGTTTAAAAAGTCATTAGTTGGGGTTAGTACGCGCGCTACCATTGGTCAGAAACCATGTTTGATGAGGGTATCAATACACGCTTGCATCATCCTTTACAAATACATCAGAATAATACGCTGGGTTTTTTTTGTTTTTTGGCGTGTTCGTTATTTTATAAAACAGATCAAAAAACAGTTTTCCGCTATGCGTCGTGGTTTCCTACGCTCCTCTCGTGTTCTCTCAACATCCCGTGTGTTTCGATCAGAGTATCAAGCGCGGAAAACTGCTTTTGATCTGTTAACTAAAAATTTTTATTTTCTCATTTACAGTGAGGACACTCGTACTGTGAACTCTGCGAGTTTTTTGTCACTTTTTAAAAATGCATACTGTAAATTATCCCCTGAGCCAATCGATTGGTATTGGATTTATTTTGATCACTCAGTGTACAGAAGAGTAAAAAGCTAAAACCTAGTGTGAACTGCGTCGGTGTTTCTAATGAAACAGTAATGACAAATGGGTAAATCTTACACAGTGAAAAGATGAAAAAACTCAGTGTACAAGTATTTGAACTCAATTTTTCATTTAAAGGGTTTGAAACGTAGAAGTTCAGGAAATAAAAACCCCAAAGTGTTCATTGTTCGAGTGTCCCACAACAGTAACTCAAATATAAATTACTGTTAACAAAAATAATACTGTTTGGTTGACCGGGCTACATACATTACTGTCTCTTTCACTGCCTGTTTCAGTTTCCATGGCAATATGAGCAAGATGAAGAGCCTCATTGACTTTCTTTTCTGCTAGAAGCATTTCAATCTGAAACAGAAATTTAGAGATAAGTTAATCCCACAGCTTTTTAATGTTTCTATTATTTCTTCCTTTTTCATCTATTGTAGTTAATTTATCATCCTTGTCATTCACCATTTTCCATACATCGGTTCACTGGTCAAACACAAAGCATTCAGTCGAGGTTGTAAGGTTCAAATTTGAATAATCCTTTGAAAGTACCTTGGAGCCTCACTTGAGCGCTTTGTGTTTGACTAGTGAACCAATGTATGGAAAATGGTGAATAGTATTTAATTCAATGGCAAACGAACATGTGGCCCTCATTTCATGATCAAATAGTCCTTTTTAACTTGGGTGTAATATTTTCACATCTCAGACCATGTGTCATTCCCTTGAGTATCATTTCTTTGTTTGATAGTTATGCAGAAGAAGGCACATGAATATGGATACCATTCAAACAAAGAATCTTATTCTCTAGGGAATGACACATGGTGAAGATGTGTTTGCGAACATATCATCTCTATATTATTTTATCATTAATATATCTATACAAAACTTTACCTGTTTCTTGTAAGGTAATTGTACCAAACAGTACAGTTCTTTGTTGGAACAAACAAAAACTTTGTTTTCATAATTAAGAAGTAATTTTCCACCCTAAGAGCACAACAAGTTTAAAATAAATCAGTAGTTGTCTAAAACATCAAGTATTGTTAGATAGCTATGAAATTGGTTGAAAGACGACCACGTGACACTAGCTAAATCTAAATGTATCTCACTGGGAAAAAAGTTGCACATGACAATAATCGTGAAAATAAACACGTGCACATGATCAGAACGTGAAAGACACTGGTGGCGTGATATTTTGCCTTGTGAAGCATCGAGACTCTCAAGAAAACAAAATCAATTCCCTCACGACCAGACATTAAGTTTATAGTAGAAACTTCTAACCAGCTTCTTCAATAGCCCTTTTCTGAGCTGTGTAAGAACAGATCTACATGTAACTTATGATTTAGTTTGGCTACAAACAACACCAGCATTGTGAACATAAGATGTTATCAATCAAGCTAGACCATTAATGCACTATGTTTAGGAACTCAAAATGGGTTGATAATACCAAGATGGCCAGAATATCTAGTAACTTTCACACTTTAATAAACAGAAATTATATGCCATGTGGTCTAGCTTCAGTATAAACAACAAGGTATATATGATGTTCAAACAAAAGATGTTCGTACTCAAGCTAGACCACAGTATACCAAGCTCCCTATTCTAGGTGTGTTACATTGGAAGATAAGAAAAAACTGTTTCAACAGAATTCTGTATTCCTGCATGTATACCCATCGATCATTACCTTGAATGTGACAGTTTGTCTCTGAGCTTTGTTGTCTTGACTAACAATACTGTTCAAAATCAATAAAATAATATTATCATACATAGCATAAATTAGAACAAATGTTTGTTGAAAGGCAAGGAATATCAGGAGCTGCCAGTTAAATCTATTTTTTTTGCTGTTGTTGAAAAATCAGACTCATTGGAAGCAGATCATTCATTCCTATCCTGCTTGCATCAAAACAATTAGGTTTTGCTGTAAAAAATGGTGAAACCTTTCACCATGGATTGACCTATGGCAGAATAAGGTTAGAATAGATCTAATGTGCTCCCATCCATCAACACCCTACAATTACACACCTGGACATGGAAGTAAATAAAGGGATAACTTAGGAATATATAACAGGAAAGTCAATAGAGGCTTTGCTTCAACATGTGATGTCAGCCATGACAGGAGGCAGGAAAAATTGAATCTGGTCAACTCTGTTTTACACGAGAAAGAATTCAGTCTCCCTGGGGGGAAAAGACTATTGTTGTGCATCCTGTCTGAGTTACACGAGAGAGAATTCAGTTTCTCTGGGGGGGAGACTATTGTCGTGTGTCCTGTCTGATTTACACGAGAAAGAATTCAGTCACCCTGGGGGGAAAAGACTATTGGCGTGCATCCTGTTTGATTTACACGAGAAAGAATTCAGTCTCCCTGGGGGGGAAAAGACTATTGTTGTTCATCCTGTCATGGCTGACATCACGTGATGCTGCAAAGCTATTGTTGTGCCTCCTGCGTAAAGCCTCTAGTTGTACCTGTAAATGGCTATAATATTGGTTCCAAGTGCTACTACATATGGGAATGAGTAACCTAATGCTTCAACACTAAATGACCAGGTTAAAGGAGCTCTTTGTGACGTCCCTTCAGATGTCACAAACATTCCCATCAGATCTGTCGGTCCATTCAGAAGAAACTCTTCCTGGAAAAACAAGAGTATATATGGTACCGCCATTACAATCCAGGGTTCCTGGCATTACTGCATGGCAAATAAAGAGATTTCTTTTCCAGAAGAATAGTGAATTCCTTTTCAATATATGTTATATACATATAACACGACTCACAGCTCATTGAATTTTACAAAATCTTAATACAATTTACTGCAAAGAATCAACGCATGTAAACATGGTTATAGTGTTACACGTTTCCTATACATGCAATGCTCAACTTGAAGAAGGTAGTGATGTAATGTAGCGTATTCCAGTTGCTGGTTCAAGCCCTGCGGTCACCACATGTGAATTGAGTTTGTTTGATGTGTTGTTCTCTCCTATGCTACGAGGGTTTTCTCTGGGTTCTCTGGTTTACTCCCTCAATAAAAATCAATATGTGATTTTTTGTGATTTTTTTCATTGTGTGCATAAAATATAAAATATTAAATGTAGTGGTAGTGCCTTTGAGTGAAAAGTGTCCCCAATTAGTGCGAAAGCATTAGAATGACTAGACACTTAACTAAAGTGATTTTTTAAAAACAATTTATTTTTTTATATCATGCAAAAATGATAACATTTTACGACAATGTTGTACTCACAGTTCTTATTCTCATGATCAGCCCCTTGGTCCTCTCTGCTTCATAATGGAAAAGCTCTTGTACCTTACGATATAACAATAATTTGTAAAATATGTATAAGCAATAATTATTTATTCAAAAAATAATGATTTATTTTCATACTTCTATGCATAGGCTTTTGTACGTTAAACCCACATGTACATCAAAATACATTTTTAATAATTAAATGAGGACATACTTTTGCGTTTCCATGGTAATAAATATTCCTGGAAGCACCGTATCTTAACAATTTCCTTGGGAGCATGCCCTGGTCTTTCTCTGGTATTTTGTATAGGCAGAGGTGAGATTTGTCTCCCCCCCCCCTTTCCCACTCATGTCAAATTCCTAGATCTGCCCCTGCGTGTCACTATACTTTAACCTTTAACTTATAACTATACCTTTGCATTCAATGCATTCACCATGCAATATCGATACTGATTGGACAAAGCAACACATATTGCACCTGCATCAGCAGCCTGAAAAGCAATAAAACTGGTATTAATGCGCAACATCCAGGCTACAAAAAAACCCTTGTTTTTATTTGTGCTTTTCTGCCTGATTTAAATTGATTCATATGATTAAACTTTAGAGCATCGATTGAATGGGAGACTCCAGACTCCAAAATTTGCTTGACGAAACATAACTCACATCTTTAATTTCAAAATTGTCCATATCCATTCATTTGAACATTAATTTATACTAAAAAGATTAGACCTTTTGCTGTCATGGTCTAGGAGGTAATAGCACATTCCCTACTTTCAATGTTAATAAACAAGTAATGTTGTTGCTCACCATGAAGAATGGTGGTTCGGCTAGTGTAATTTCCTTGAGCGGTATTATTTTGTTTTCTGTTACAGAGACAATTTGAATGGACTTCTTTCTGGCAATAGAAATACAGATCTAGAAAAAACATTAACAAGTCAATATGCAGAATCTCAAATAATACGACATTGCTATGGTGTATTGAGGGGCAATTGAGAGCCATAAATGTCCCGATGTACCAGGGGGGACTCCAGGTTAAAAGTATTGGGTACTCGTCAGAAGTTTTCTAAAATACCCCTAAAAGATACCGGAATTCCTTTAAAAAAGGCGTGGTTGGACATTTTTTTTGGCCCTAAGAGATACCCTAAAAGATAGCAAGAAATGCCGAAATTCTAAATTTCAATTTTAACACCCTAAAAGATACCAAATTGCTGATTTTTACCCTTAAGAGATACAACAAGCATACCAGATACATACTTTTAACCCGGAGTCATCCCCAGGGATCCCGGGATCAATGTATGATTAAAGAAACAATTGAGCAAGAAAAGAAAAAAATAATCAGGAAGAGAATTACCTCAACAGCAAACGGATCAAAATTATTAGGATTTTCATTTTTGGCAATAAAATTCACCTAAAAACGAAGAGAAAAAAAAACCAGAATTTAACATAGTGAAAATTTTTATGATTTAAGACAAGTTTCAGCTCATTGACCTGCAGGAAAAGAGACTACACCTAGTATATGGTTGCAGAAGAGAAAAAAGGAAACTTACCCCTTTTAATTTGTCTTTAAAGCCTGATACAATGATCTATCATAAAATACAAATGAACGTTTGTCAAGCAAAGCCAATGCATAACTAAGGAGCGTTTTTCTACTTTTCCAATCAAAATCACGAAAAATAAATACTAAACATTCATATTTAGACTAAAAGAGGCTGTTTGCTGGTATTTTTGTTTGGTTTAGGCTATTGTTGAAAAATACCCCAAAAAGTCACTTAGGCCGTTTTCATTTTCACCCCTTGTAAACAATCAAATCAGTGAAGATAGAAGTCAACCAATATATACAATGTATATAATTGTAAAATTTTATAGGAAGAAAGTATTTACCTCAAGTTCAAACATGCTGAACATAAGAATGATGCCTATAAATGAAAAACAAAAATAGTACATGATCGCAGATAAAAATATCCATCTCTCCCAACTCCTACACTGTATAGAGCTTTTAAGTGGGACATCAATCAAATGAGTGGTCTCATAATGATATTTCTTTTTTTCTTGGTGATAGGGTTTGTTGTCCAAAGTCGTAATTGTTTTAGGGGATTCATTTAACTTCTTTTTGAGTCCCAAGGTAATGGCATTAATTAGCCCAATGTAAGGAACTACAAAAAGGATTCTGGAAGTAGTCATATCAAGACACAATAATGTAGCCTGCGTAATGGAAGACAAGAGTCATGGGAGGTGGGGGTGTGGTGAAGAGAGGGAGACAGCTGCAGCCTTCACCCAACCCTCACCCCTTTTGGGCCATTACGCAGGCTGCAATAATAAAAAACAGAGAATTAACAATCCTAGCACCATTAATGCCAACAAACTTTTGAACAACTCATAACAACAGTAATATCTATATATCATATGACCCATATCTGCCCGGGCGCGCGCTCTTACAAAAACCTTTGGGAAAATGGCATGAGCAGGGCCGTATGGCTTTGAGCGAGCAGGGCTGTACGGATCTGTACGGCCCTGCTTGAAACCCGCAACCGTATTTTCCTTCTTTTATTTTATCATTTTTCTTTTCATGAGGGTCATATGATAAAATGCTTATTGACTGAGTTAGGTTGGGCTATAGGGGAAAATATTTGGCTCTCGGTCATTTGTACGCACCGAGCAGCGCTCGGTCCGTACAGCATCACCTCGAGCCAAATATTTTGCCGTACAGCCCTCCCACTCAGTCAATAAGTACATAATATTTTTACATACCATCACAAAGAACCAGCAGTCTATTAATGGTTGGTGCTGTTACTACTTGTTGGATAGGCTTTTTCTGTTGGTAATTCAAAAAGACGCATCAAAATCTAACTAGAAGACTAAAGGAATGTCCTGCAGTTGGTGAATGTGTGCATGGAATTTAATAAATTTGGAAGAGTCAGAGAGGGGGAAGGAAAAAAAAGGCGCACTATGAAATTTATTTTTCGCAATAATTTCCAAGAGATCTCGAAACAGGACAAAAAGTTGTATTGATTATTTTGGTAGTATTAATAAAGAAGGCTAATGGGAAGTCTTTTGTTAAATACCAACAACATGGCCAAGACGATGTAACATGCCAAAATGTTTGCATGTAGTGCACTCACCTCTGGGGGAGGGAATCGATAAAACTTGAAGAGTTAAGCTAACTACATGGTCCCTAATACCATCATGATGATGATGAGGTTGATGACATGCAAATGAAGTATTGGTTTTCTGAAAGCTTTCTTGTTTGCTACATTACCAACATCTTACCATGCCAATATGCTTATGAGTCAGAAGGCTGCATTGGAAAGTAGTTCTTCCAAGAGGCGACACAGTGTCATCAAACACATAATGGAACACATAACTGTGGAGGGAGCATAACAATGAATATGGTCTACATTCAAATAGAGAATAAGAAGCTAGGAAACTAATGGATGCAATATGATACCCAGTCTCGCACATCATTGAAGCCCCTAGGGTTATACTTTTGGCAGCATAATTGTATCAGCTTGTAGACTGCAGAACCCAATTAACTTCTTGCTAAAAAATGTTACCAAACCTACCAGTCTGCTGTACCAATGAATAAATTCTGTGCAGCACAATCCAGGCATTCAATCTAAAAAAAAAGAAATCAATTCAGATCTAATTAGCTGGCTCTTCTTTACTCCAAGAATGGAGGCCCCTAGCCTTTAATAAGCCCCCTTCCCCTGCCCCCTTCTAATAAGTCCTCAGTCCAAAGGCACTGAAAAAGAATAAGCCCCCATTAAAATGAGTCACTGCCATCATTTTCACACCTATGATATTCATGCACCAGTCAACATAAATCCCCCTCCTTCAACCCAGGAAGTGCAAGGAATTTAGAAAAACAACAATATTTGATGATGGAAACTGTATTAGTAATCAAGGTATTGGCAAGATTTTCTTCCTCGGTAGTCCAACCAGTGAGTCTGGATTTGACATTTAAGGGGGACTGAGACCAAATTGAATTGTCTCAGCATTTAATAAAACCTTTAATGACAATGTAATGCAAATGACTCAGCTTTACTCCCTGGTAGCAGGGAAAATAGGGACAATTTGCCTGTCAACAATATCCCAGGAATCAGGGCATTAACACACTTTGAACAACTCAAATACCCAAGTCCCCACAAGGGGCCGCGGAACAAGGGGGGCTGGGGGGCTATAGCCCCCCCAATAATTTTGCCATTTTGAATTTTGTGCAATATTTCCATGAATTGAGTGCGAAAAAATATGTTTCCAATGTCATTTAAAATGATTGAAATCGCATTTCTGAGAGCTGTGATTTCAAAATTTCCAGGGGGGGCATGCCCCTGGACCCCACTAGTTGATCCCACCTTTAGTGGTCAATAGCCCCCCCCCAATACAAAATATGCTCCACGGTCCCTGCCCACCACTTCCTTGGTTCGGGGCCAGGATTTACATTGACTGATGCATTACATGGGAATTAGGGGTATATATACTTTGGAGCAATTATAGAATACCCCACAAATGATATGCAGTTGTTGGAACTCTTTGTAGAACGACGCATACAACGATAGAAGTCATGGTCATTAAGTATTATAAAATAAATTAAATAGTACGCACGCTGTGATTGGTTGATAGCCATGTTTGCATGAGGATATGTAAACACAGTTGTGACGTCACAACTTTCGTGTTTTCCCGGTACAAGTTCAAAAATTAAAAATTTACAGTTTCTTTTGAGGAAAAAAACGCCCCCAAAAATGTATTTTGAAGACGAAGTTCCAAATTTTGACTTGTGTCAGGGCCACAGGCATAACCCTATGGTCTCATGCAGGTCTTTCTGATCGTAATATCATGACAATCTCTCGTTGGTCACCGCAAAGAGAATTCCCTAAGGAGCTACAACACACGTCCTTCGTCCTTCTCATGATTTAAATGCACCGCCCGATAAAGAATACAAGTGTTTCAAGGAAACAGTCAGCAGCTTCAAACTTTTTCCAGCGATAGCTCTTCAGCTCCACAAAATATCTTCTCGAGGCAAGACGAAACAATCAACTTCGCTGCCATGTTTTCTCGCTGTCAAATTGAGCAAAACCACGTTTCTTTCAACCGAGAATTCCAGTCACAGTGACACTTGTTATCCACTTTTGATCACTTTTGTAAAGATAATTAATTCTGAAATCTTTTATTAAGATTTCTATTCAATCTTTGGACATTTCTTTGTATTTGTTTTAAAGTTTTAGAATGATAAATGTTTAAAATAGCTAGCGATTCTTTCTCGCTTCACATTTGCCTCCTTGGCGTTTATTACACGAAATTCGACAGGTTAACGATCGAAGTTCGTGATGTATGGAGAATTTGTATTTTGATATAAGAATCAAATTCAAATAAAGATTTATTTTCTTGCAAGTGGTAATGCTTTTCCTTATTATTTATTTTATAAAAGCAATAGAAAACTTTTTCCCCTGTGTTTACATAGCCTGATAGCAACACTCGGGGGGTTGGGAGAATTCTCGACAGTCATGCAAACCCTCGACTACGTCTCGGGTTTGCATAACTGTCGAGAATTCTCCCAACCTCCCMTCGTGTTGCTATCAGGCTATGTAAACACGGAAAAAGTTTTCTATTGCTTAATGTGCATATGATTTGCTATACCCTAAGTATACCCTATTATTTCATCACGATCAGACCAAATTTAACTAAATAAACTTTTAAAGCATAAAATATATAGGTAATATTAGGCTATATAGCTAGGTACTGCATATTATTTGTAATGTATAAATATATACACAAAATATAAAAAGGGCCAAATTGAGAAATTATACTAATGTATATTAAAGCTAAATCAGAGCCAAGCTAGCCTTCTTAAAGCTACGCTTTAATTTTAAACACCTAAGCTTACAGCTGTAAGCTGAGCTTTCAATTTATTATATTAAATATTTCAAAGATTTAGCTCGATTTTATTACTATCACTATTTTGATTGTTTTACCGTTTTCGGCTTGTCAGAAGAAGACGTAGCTATCTTCTCTAGCACAGGAATGAGATCAAAAGCCTTAAAGCTCATGTTGATCGCTTAGTTCTTCTCTCTGTCAGATTCAAACCAAGAACGTCCGCCATCTTGTCCACAAACATCACAGTCCTATCTTCCATCATAAGACATGCGCCTACAAAATCCACAGGAGGTCCGCACATCGCACTTGGGGAGCCAACCTGAACATCAAATATTTAAAACATTTATTTGAATTCTTTATGTTTAAATGACAAAAGACTGAGTGCTATTGTGAGTTGAATATTGTGAGTGATATTGTGAGTTGCTTTTATTCAAAACATGATATTTGGCGCAGTCTGCACTGCCAATATCGTGACTGCTGAATGATCTCTGATTGACTGTGAGTCACTCTATCCGTTGACCGACCTCTTGATAATCTTTAAAATTTCCTGGCTAGATTTAAGAGTAGTCGGAGCGTTTAAATTAAATCTCCCTGGCCCTCGCGAAGGCCGGGGGGAGGGGGGGCTGAGGTTGGGGGAGGGAGAGGGGGCAATCTTGTTTCCTTCCCTGAGTGAACCCTGCACTTTTTCCTTGGCTTTTAAAGCTCCCCTTCATACATCCACTTTAAATTTCGATCTCCTCGCTATAAAGCTAGTTTATTGATTCATTCCTGCACGTTATCCTTTCGCGTATTCATTCGATTCTCGCATATATTTTTACCAATTTTTCGTGCACTTAAAGTTCACTTCAAAAAATTGATTCCCCGGGGCTTCCGAAAAACTGTCGGACATCAGTCAAAAAATTGATTCCCCAGGGTTTCCGAATTACTGTAGGACATGCTTCAATTGCCTTTGCTCAAAAAGACAGCTAACAGCTTTTGTCATTTCAATCGCCCACTTGGCTTTATCGACGTCAGCAGAGAAGTTGAAAGGGTAAATCGCTATGCAAGAGCACGTCGTCTATGCATTATCCTATTATGAACATATGTCTGCATATGTTAATGTATGGATCAATTATATTTATCTGATCATGATCAACTTGGTCATTACTATAAATTAAAAAAGTTGGCCTCGTAAACTCATAAAGATCGCGAAGTATTATTTTTCTCAAGAATTCGATATTTGCCTGATATATTGAGTGTCAAACAAAATAAAACATACAGTAAACAAGCTTATGTTTCGAAACTACTTTGAGTCTTATTATTGACCACGATCGCGCGCTTTCCCCATTTTTCCTTTCCATTTATTCATTCCTATTTCCCAGGTCTGGTTTGGTGGATTTTTTTGCCTCTCTTACGTCTTTTGACCATGGCAAATTCTGTGTTTTTGCATAGGTAAAGTAGTAAGTAAGATTAGTATAGATTACTCATTTTGTTTTGTCTGATTCTCCATAAATTTAGACTAATCAATAAACTTACATGATCTAAACTTGCGCAGGCCACAGAAGTAATAAATAAAAAATAAATCTTGCAAAAGAAAGAAAAAGTCTTCGCAATTTTGGCAATTTTCTCGTACCATCTGGTTGAGATCGTAAGTTATTTGCAAAAGCCAAACACTTCTGAAAATACAGGTATGAATCAGAACGTACAAAATTAATTAAACCACAGTCCGGGGGGAAAAAACAATGAAAAATCGCTTCATTAAGCGAAAAACTAATACAAAATAGGCGGAAATTTGAAGGTCTACTTTGAATTGTCTTATATTTCTTTAAATGTTGTTGGGAATAAAAAAAAACCTCCCAGTATTAATTGGCTTGAATAAATTACTGATTGAATACATTATCGCATGTGGGCGGGATTTGTACCTTATAAGGCAATGCTGAGTCGAAAGATGCATCAAATTTCACGGGGAAGAGGGTCGACCCGTTTGCGTTTTCGAGTTATTCGTCACTTTGAAGTTTTAAGAGAACATTCTTCATTTGGCCGCTAGGAAGCGTAGACCTCTTGTATTTAATAACTGTCATCAAAGCTGGGAGCTAAGAATATGACCGACCCAAGTCAAATAAGTGTCCCTCGTCTTGCTCGACTCGTAAAGGGAAATCAAGGCTATGGCTTTAACTTGCACGGGGACAAGAACCAACCAGGACAAACTATTAGTGCCGTTGATAAAGACAGTCCTGCTGAACAAGGTGGTTTAAGGGAAGGAGATAAGTTGATAGAAGTTAATGGCTGTAACGTAGAAGGTATGTCACATGGCGAGGTCGTCAAAAAGATCAAGGAAAATCAAAATGAAACCTCTTTACTCGTATGCGATAAAGTAACACTGGCGTATTTGGCGGAAAATAATCGACCCTGTACGGCTGATATGGTTAATTTATCAACGGTTTATGTGAAACCAGAGGCAGAACCAGCACCTGTATTAGCTAATGGTGATGCTACRCCCGAAGTTGTATCAGAAAAAATCGAAGAAAGTGCGCCAGTTGCTGTAGAAGAGAGTGCACCGCCCCCAGCTCCCGAGCCAGCACCTAGTGCTCCAGAAGAACACTCCGGTCCAACTCCCGATGAAGCAGAAGCGGTTAAAGAACTCAAACGTGTGGTTGATGAACATGAAGACAAGCCAGCCGAAGTCCCAGTGGTTGAATCAGAGCCTCCAAAACCTGAAGAGCCTCCAAAAGCCGAACCCCCTAGTGTTGCAGTTGCTCAACACGTTGAACCTGTGAAGGCTGAACCGGCTAAGTCGACTTCGGACAGTGATTTTGTCCTTGATATGAAGTCAGCTAGACCAAGTGTGAATAAGAGAAAATCTGCCAAGCAATCTGGACAAGACTGGAGTAACAAAGTCAGTGTTATAAATTCATTGTAAAATTATTACTGCTCTTTGACGATACAGCTAGAATAGCTCAATGTATCGGTAGAACGCACCATCGACTGAACCATATTTTGTATACTCCGCCATTCTTGAAATACCTTGGAAACAATTTGTACTAGTTTCGTTTTCACAAGTATCTTCCTTACGGTGTGTATAAAGCGAAACGCCTAGACATAAAACTCGCAAAAGAAATCACCTAAAATATATTATCACACTATTTTTGGAATAAAAAATTAGTAGAAGAGTTTCAAAATCTTTGAGAGATGTTGTGAGATGACAAATAATTTGTTGCTAAAGCGTATTAATGCGTGTTTTGGTCACCGCTTTATTCAGCGCTCGTAATTGTTATTATTGCTGTATCTTCCAGCGTCAGTTATTGCCTACATAAATTTGTACATTAAATACTGCTGTAAACTCGAACAAGGAGTTTAATTTTGTACTTACTGTCGTAAAATCACATTAAGGAGTGTCTTTGCAATGTAAAAATGTGACCAAACCACCACAAACTTAAAATTTCTTCTCGCTTCGTTTATTGAAGTGAAGTCATAATTTAACTACAATGATCTAGCTTTTCTGCTGAACATAACTTTTATATTCCGTTTGAAATACTTATTTAGGAAGCATACTTGTAGATGCAAAGATTTAAGAATAAAGACAATTTCTACACTGAATTTTSAAACTGTTGTTTAAATTTTTTTTCTACATAGCTTATGGCAAGCAAATGCTACGYTTGACATCCCATTCTCAAATTTTTTTATGTACGTGTCGAGAATATCTTTTTCCTTTGCCTTTCAATGCTAAAAACCCTTATATTTTAGCTTTATTTTGCATTATTAAGAATAATTTAAAGAATAATTCTTTCAGTTTATTATACTCGAGGAAAAAATACATCCTTTATTAGGCTATTTTGTACATTATTGTACTTCAAACCTCACTCGTATTAAAATGTTTACTTATATTTCTAAAGGTTCTGATTYCTTCTATAAATTTCGAAATTCTGTACTAGTTTTTTTCTGTATTTAAGTTAAGAAAAGCTTGGAAATGATTCAGCATTGAATACATATTTGAACACTGAATTGGCTTTCCTTTTTGACCTTTACACTCGAATGGTTTCCAAGATGTATTTTATTTTAAAAATTCAGAGTCGAACTCAAATACAAATATAAAATAAAAGACCAGATATTCCTTAAATTTATTCATTTCATTTTTTCTCGTTGAATCCTGAAGTCTAATCGTTTATTTTGATTATTCGAACGAAAAATTAAGAAATTTTGAATTGCAAATGCTCGAACGTACTCGTAGTTAATTGTCATAAAAACGTAAAATCTCGCTTCGTGTCACACGTAAGCAAGCGCTTGGTTGTTGTAGTGCATTCTTTTCCACTGACTTTGACAGACGTTTATTATTTGTCTTACCGGAAATAGCAACGGTGTAAATTTTTCTGTCATGATTAGTTCTTTGGTAGCCTGCGTGCATCCAAACACAAACRACAAGCTAATTCTTTGGTGAACAATTGACTTTTGTGAAATCATGCAGTGATGATCAGTTTATATCATAGTCTTGCATGTCACTGGTAAATACTAGAAAGTGTAGTTTTTTTTACTTGAAATTTTCAATTCTAATGTATTATATGTATTGTGTTTTTTTTTTTTGACTTCAGAGCCTTACTGAATTCCTAATACGTTTTAGAAACTGCACTAATCAGAAATAATCTCATTAAAGTAGACTTGATTAAGGTGTTGTTGTAAAGATCAGTTGTTATTGCTGTTCTGTTTATAAGATCCTATAAATAGTATATCCTTATGTCATTGGGATTTGTTGATATTCATCGATGATCATATAATACCACTTCTAGAAAGAATAGGGATGAGGTTRGTTGGATAAACTTCATCTCAATGAAAAAGCTAGAAGTTAGTTACTAAGAAACGCAGTTRTTTTTTCAATTAAGCTTTGTCTTGAGTTATGACAAAGAGAATTGTGTTCACTTGGTCATAAATATATACACACACAGTACCTTACGTTATACTATACATAAGAGCAGTAAACAAGAATAGACCATTTCACAGATCCCGTGGCTCAACCTCAGCCTCGTCAGCGTGTAATGTATTCTTTAGAAATTGCCTACAACCTGTGAAATTTTTAAGTGTTTCAATTGTTCGTTGATGTGTAAATTCCTTTCATTACTGCGGACTGTAGTCAAATTCTAAAGAATAATTACATGCTGACGAGGCTGAGGTTGAGTAACGGGATCCATGAAATGGCCTATTATAATAGTGTAGTTACAGCACGACTTATCAAGACCATTCATCTTTAATGCCAGGAGTGGATCCAGTTTATTCTTATGCTTTTTTTGAGGCGATGCATAATCTCTCTCTATATATATTTCTTTATTTGGGACACCCTCTTAACAAATTCCTGGATTTGYCCCTGCAATACATCCTAAATATTACTCTGCTAAATATGAAGTTTTTAATGTACTAATAATAATTAAGAACAGCGTAATGATTGTGTTCATAAAGGAATAACGTCAGCGAACCTATACCTTGGGCGTAATGTTTTCTTATTTCAGACCACATGTCATTCCCTAGAGTATTATTTCTTTGTTTGGTGGTTGCATTTGAGAAGACTAATAAATAACGTTTTGTCTGACAGTTGCGCATAAATATGAATACAACTCAAAGGTAGAATCTTATTCCTGAGTATGAACTGAGAATTTCCCAGTCTTTCCAATYCTTGAGGTCTACAAATGAAAATTGTACTATCTTCCCACCAAATCTACAGACTATCCCACATGAATTAATTATTTTTTGGTGCCGAAAGCAAACTTTGGGGGGAGGGGGTGAGGACAGGAGCATGTACCCCCCACCCTACACTATTGTCAACGAATAATTTAAGGTTTGACTGAATTCGAAGCATATAGAATTTGAAATTTTTCTTTTGATACGTGGCAACTGTTTTGGAGACCCSAGAAAGTTTTCAGGGCAAAAATTAAATCTCATCCTTTTTTGTCTTATTTATTATGTTATCTTGGCAATCAGCCACATAAAGTCATCATAACATAGATTTTGCTAGCGATAGGTCATTCATGACGTAAGTTAACAGCAAATGACTTCCTGGCTCATGTTCTGGCTTTCTTATTGTTTATACGTCGTCAGGGGCCTTCGTTGCTAGGCAACTTAAGGATGTTATCTTTATCTTTAATTTTTTTAATTTTTCTGAAAACTTAGAAAAWCGTAACATGAAGATAAATACTTTGTTCAGATTCCATACTGCGAATTTTCTCTCTTTTTCGCGTGATTTACTAAAGAATGCAATCAAATGTATTAAGGTCGTTTTAAAAAATGCCCAATGCCGACAAATTAGGCAAGTATTATATATGCAAATATATGAACGTTTTTAAAATTACTCATATTTTTTCTTGCGCTTATAACCCTCGAACAGCTTGCACAACACACAGCTAGCGTCGCAGGATTTTCCCGTCAAAAAATGGTGTTTTTTTTACCGAATAAAGCCGTTCCCGCGGAAGTCATAACAATATGGAATACGAAAGAAAACAATTCGATTATTTTTTCAATAGCCAAGGTCAGTCACCCAAACAATATTGCCACAGTATAGATGATAAWCCATATTTGAACTGTCTTTTCTTTTCACAACTCCTATTTCCGTACACCATTCTACTTACATACAAATATTTGTGTGTGCTTTTTCCTCCTATCTTCTCAAAAAAACAGCTGCTCGCCGGCTTTTTACTATATTACATGTTTAATATCCCCCGCAACCTCTCCTCTACCTTCTAGAACAATCTCCAGCATAAATCAGTAGTAGAGTTAAGATCTTTTGGCACAAGTCTATAATGAAGCCTGTTTTTAGATTTAAAAATTTCGGCTTTTTTTTTTTTTTTTTTTTTTTTTTTTTGGCCAGCTCTTCACTATAGTACATGTTTAATATCCCCCGCAACCTCTCCTCTACCTTCTAGAGCAATCTCCAGGATAAATCAGTAGTAGAGTTAAGATCTTTTGGCACAAGTCTAAAATGAAGCCTGTTTTTAAAATTAAAAATTTCGGCTTTTTTTTAATTTTTTGGCCAGTAAAATTACATTAAAATGTCACTAACTTGTTGTGTCTATTTAAAAGCTCTGCATGATAGCTAGAGTTCTTCAACTGTCACCGGCCGGCTTCCGGCATAGAGCTCATGTTAAAAGGTTCTTCAGCAAGCCGTTTTTTAATTGCACCTGAAAACATTAAATAACTGAGTGTATCAATTCAATATGATATGAACTTTTTAGAATCACCGTTAGTTCCATTCTTCCCACCCCTCCCCTATGAGGATTTCAATTTGACTTTGATCGTCGCTCGATTAATTGYAACTAAAATCATTCTGCAAATTGATGTGACATAAAATCATCAGAATCTTTATTTGTACCAAATTCCCCACCCTTCCCCGACTCATATTTACAATCCTAAACCCCAGTTCCCGTCCAACCAAATTTTCAAAGATCCTTGATAATATACTAGACTGAAAAATTAAAATACAAAGATCCCTACGATCTAATAGATAGGTTAGATGGATAGATCGTTTATTAAATAAAGTAAATATGCGGCAGCCAAAGGCTGAATTAAGTAAGTAATACAATAAAGAAATTATAAAAAAAATAAATAAATGATAAAATTTAAAAACCATATAAACTATTATACTAATATTACTATTAATATAACTATTAAAAAATAAATATTAATATATATATTATATATATTTATCGAGCACGATAAGGCATTAGACTAGCCCCTTTAGACGTTACTCTCAATCGATTTTCCATAATGAAGTTTAACTTAGAAGTTTCTAGAAAGTGTTTGAGGATAATTTTGGTGCTGCCAGACCGACATCACTAAAATAGCTGCCACTMATGACCAAGAACATTTTTTATAGTGCTTTGCGAGTCAGACAATTTAAGACGCATGACGCTCTCTAGTTTCTTGACTGCCACCGTTATCATAAAGCTTTTGAATGACTGAAGCCAAAGACGTGTACAGACGTCTGAGAGTTTACCCTGGGGTCAAACAGAGGTCGTTTGTATTCTCGATCGGGCGTTTGCTGTTTTTTTGACGCAGGAAGGCGCTCATCTAAAAACATCCAAAGCGAAAAACTTTGGTTGCAGGTGGCAAAAAACGAGGATTGACTTCRCGCTAAAACGTAAATGAATAAATTAACGAAGTAAATACATAAATATCAAACAAGCATGAGGAAGGAAGATATGAAGGAATTTTAAGTCGAATAAAATCGGTGGAGGTATCGATACGGAAATGAATCGCTGCATACGAGGTAGAAAAGATACAACAGGATTGAGGGAGGGCTTAGAAAGTTAATGGAACCTTCAACCCAAATGAAACCACCATTTCTAAATGATGAATTTATTTWTTTWWTTWTTTATTTWTTATAAAGCATGCATTTAAAAAAATATTTCTAGTATCGCTATCAATTAAAGCAGCCTCACCTTTTAGTTGTTTTATTTATTGATTTAAACTACTCGCTAAATGGATTGCAGTTGGTGTCTTGGAATAGAAAGCTTTTAAGCTTAGTTTTTGAGTCTAGAGTGATTATTGACCTAATGCAAAGTGCTTAGCTTAGGGCTGGCGCCATAAAGACACTGACAAGTAAAGACCATAGCTGTCAAAAATCATGGACTGAAACATCTTTCGATTAAACACGAACAGGAAATATCTGAATAGATTATTAAGTTATGCAGATAAAATGATACTAAAGCCACAAAGACTGAACGAGTGGTCAAGACATGTGACATTATTTGCCTATGGTAAATTATTTGGCCAACCGCGCATTTTCTGTTTCCGACCGCGTCATAATCAGGGGTGACAGATAGCGGTATTACGCTCGCCTATCACCTTTGCGGTCTCGGGATCGGCATCACATCGGAGTAGAATTTGTTAGCTCTCTCCTTTGATTCAAGAGTTTTTACTCCAGTTTCTCGATTTTCCTCCCTTTACAAAACCTATAACACGCTAAATTCCATTTCTGAATTAGATGTGCCCTAAACTTTGATCAACCCAGAGGTTGTTTCAGGCCCTTTATCGATAGGTTTTTGAAGGTATTCAGATAAGTAATACTACTTAGAATAACGAGCCTTTGGTTTATCACTGTGTCATGATTTAACTGATGGTAAAGTATTTGGCCCACGCGGCTTCTGGCTGTTTCGGAAGACTATGTCAGACTGGGACAAGCGCATTTAATACTGTCATAGTAGATTGGCTAGCTGGCTGTAATTGTCCAGTCGAAAACTGATAAGAATTATCAAAATGAAATGAGGAACATTAGATACGATTCAATCCAAAAGTATTAATATAATGCCATTGCGCGTAAGACACTCGAAGAATCTGAGGCGCYGTATGGACTTCAGACTTACAGCCAATCACCAYGTGTCCCCTTATAGACTATATCACTTCTATGCGCTTTGGCTTATAAAAGTATCGAGTATGTGCGCTTACATTTATAGCAGTGCTGGGGGTGGKGTGGGGCTAGGCTCGTTAATTCTACGCCGCCGGGCGTATGGACCAATGGATCTCAGGTTTGCAGCATCCAAGGCAATCACTGCCTTCGCCAAACAAATATGGTAAATTCTAATTCGATCTGTGAGTTAGTCGCGACCTGAYTTTGATCAGCACAGAGGTTGTTTCAAGGTATCGATAAAATTTGAAAGTTTTTACATTCCACTAATGTGATCAAGAGTATTGTTTATTAAACTACAATGCTTGGAAGCGTCTCCATTTTATGATATTTTACGAGTCAAATCTCTTCTTGCAGTGCCGCGGCGGGACAGAAAACGCAAGAACCCTGGGTGCGCGCGSGCGTGTACGCGTCAACAATGTTACTATGGCAACAAAAATACGTCATCCATTACGAACGAAGTAATTAAACTTATTACTGATATATAATAGAAACTAAGGAAACTATTCACCAAGAGCATGTCAGGAGATTCTGACCGGGTTGATCAGGACCTTGTCCAGGTAAGACTAGCCTGATTCACATAAGCAATGCTATTTTTCAAAATGCAATATTTTTCTCTGTGGTTTCTCCAAGAACTCGTAAACAGCCGCCCATCAAGGGAGATAACGCAGGGTTTTTATTCACCGGTATTTTGAGGATTTTATCATGGTAAAGATGATAAGCTATATATGCGTGTTGGTCTGCTTAGGATTGCGTTATTTTTTCGAAATCTTTAACAGGCACCTCAAACTGGTTTTAAGTCGTCTCCTTCCGTTTCGATTGTACCCGGCCCAGTGTCAACGAGTGAAGACGTCCCGCAGTCAGCTTCATTTGATAAGAACATATCAAGGAAGCCCAGGAACTTATTGATTCCTTCYATTTTGGTGTCTATATTATGTTTCTGGCCTCTTGGATTTGCAGCTATTTGGCAAGCTGCAAAGGTAAAGAAAAATGTGTTTGATATCAAACCTGGGTAAGATTTAGTGATGTACGGCGGTGCACACTCCAACAGACGTACGATAT